CATTTTAAGACACTTTTAAATGAGTGAAAACGGACATCGTTAAGTGAAATTCCCCCACAGAGAACATCGTTAAACGATGAGGAAAATTCCTCCCAACTAGTCCCAGTAGAATCTTTGGTTCCACAGCTGCATGAACTGAGACACAGTCCCTGTCTAGCATGGTTGCAATGTTTGTTCCTACTCAGAACACAGAGTAGGAATTGGCAGCAGCTGCTAGTTCTGTTCACCTCTAGTTCTGTGGTCCATACAGACCTAATTAAACACAACACACACACACAAGATGCCTGGATGAGAATAGTGAGAATCCTGGCTAGTTTACTTACAGAGCCATTGATTTTTATAGTAATATGAAAGCTAAAATATTTATATAGTGTTCTCATTTCATTTACTGCTTCTATTCTATCTCTGATTTGCCTTCTCATTTGATTTACAGTAAAAAATTCCTGCCACCAAAAAAGCACTAACAATCTTATTCTCAACATTTATATTCTACCTTTCCTCCTCTAATAATCTCAAAGCAATACAGAGTGTCATCTTATACTTTGTATGTGTTTCCCTAAACAGGCCCCTGCCATCAAAAGACCTCCTCTTTTGACCCATTTTTAAAATATATCCCACTTTTGATATTTTTGAATGGTGCTGAGTAGCCTTTGGTCACTTTCTTGGATAGTCTCCTAATGTTCTGGGAGAGAAGTAATTCTGGGGTATGGAGCCGAGGGTTAAGAACCTCATCACATTTTTTTTTAGAGGGGAGCAAACATAGCTACTGTGTTACCCTATGTTTAAAATTGTGCATAGGCACTGGTAGCGTAGGCATCAGGTCTGCTGCTGAATTTATTGTCTGGTAAGAAAAGGAAGACAGGAGGGCTTGGCGTGCTCTGGTTCATGGGGCCATGAAGAATCGGACACGACTTAGTGACTAAACAGCAACAACAAAGAAACGGAAGCTGACTGGAGAGCTCAATGAGAAGGAAACACGAGGTTGGAACTGTTGTACCTCACTGTGCCTTGTGCAAACTACACAGGACCAGACCACCCCCAGAAGAAGTGACTGGTAAACCACTTCTGAGTGGCGTATACCTAGAAAACTTAGGAAGGGGCTGCAGTAAGTCAGAATCAACTTGATAGCATTCACGTATAAGAAGAAAAGAATGGGAAACATGTCAATTTTCCTTCTCCCTATGAAAGTATCTGTTTTGTACATCGTGAGAGCTGCAGTGGATTAAAGCGCATTTTGCACTGAAACTCTGTACATTCCCAATGTTGTGATGTTCTTCAATGAAGAAAGAATGCACAAAGAACCATGAGAATGTTTGAAAAATGAGCAATATTAAAAATGCATACATTTGAAAAATGAGTAAAAATGTATACTTTAAGAAAAATGCATGTCAAAATACACATGAATATACATGTAATAGTCTATGAATGCAATAAAGAAATGATTGAGGAGGAGAATGAGTAAATGTGCACAGGACTGAGAAGCTGGCATTACTGTGCCACAGGTTTTAAAACACTTTCAAAAGTGTCATGTGAATGCATTCCAGAAGATCTTAATTTCCTGGTTCAACTGGCAGTCTATTACTGCTTCTATTCTATCTCTGATTTGCCAAAAGCTTCTTGCTGGAATCTTTCCCTGCAAAAGGCTAATGGGATAAGCAAGTTAACAAATGGCTCTTTCACTTCCTGCTTCAGGTTGCACATGGAGTGGCCTTTCCCCTGGTCTCACAACTAGGCACTGAAGGTTGTCTGATGACATTTTGTTCATCTGTGGAGCCAGTCAAGTGAAATCTTGACCAATGTGCTGTGGCTGACATATTACCCACAATTTATCCACTGTTTGTGCATGATATAGTGGTGGGGATGGCAATATGACCTTCACTCAGCTTACTTGAGACCACACATTAATCTTCTGAGCACAGCTTTATAAAGGTAGGATTATAGAAGGAGGAAAAAGATTTTTTTTCCACAGGTTCAGGTACAAATGCACACAGGATTTCCAAGGAAGATGTGTCAAATTTAGGGGAAGGCAGTGCAGAATAGCCAAAAGAGTTAGCAAACAAGCTTTTGATCATGGATATCAGCTTCTGGAGGTTTGTTTTTCTTGGCCATTTCCCCATGCTATTTTTATGTACATATGATACAAGCCAACAAAAATATGATTTTCATCTAACAGCTTTTAGGGTATAGAAGATGAAAAGCTGCGGAAAGGAAAATCATTGATTAAGAAGAGATGTCTCGTATTAAATGACAGCAATGGGTCTCCAAGCATGTTGATGTTACTGACACTCTGGGGAGAATGCTCAGAATTCACTGATACTCCCATGAGAATTATACAGATACTTGCATTATTTAAAATGAAGAGGCAAGGGACTAATTCTGAACCCAAGATTTCATGCATCCTCCTAAGAGCAAATATGCTTCCTTATTTTAAAGAAGAAAAACACTTAGGACACAGTCTGTTTGGTAATGAGAATAGAAAGGAATTCCCCCCTTCTTTCCTTCCCCTGTTGTCTTTTGGGATGCCCCCATAAACTACTACAGGGTTTTGTGGGGTGCTTTTTAAACAGAACTCTACAAGTGTTTTTGGGGTGCTGGGGGCAGCAATAGTGAAATAGGATTGCACCTCCCATTGTTGAATTGTGCAAGCTGAAGTGCAGCATTGAATACAGCTGCTTTTTCTTATGGAAATGACCCCACCCAAAAGATCCCAGTCAAGAGTTATTTTTATTAACCCACTATGTTAGAAAGGGATGTGGTGCTGCTGCAGGTTAAGCCGCAGAAGCCTCTGTGCTGCAGGGTCAGAAGACCAGCAGTCGTAAGATTGAATCCATGTGACGGAGTGAGCTCCCGTTGCTTTGTCCCAGCTCCTCACCAACCTAGCAGTTCGAAAGCATGCAAATGCAAGTAGATAAATAGGTACCACCTCAGTGAGAAGGTAAACAGCATTCTGTGTCTAGTCGCGCTGGCCACGTGACAATGGAAACTGTCTCCGGAGAAACGCTGGCTCTATAGGTTGGAAACGGGGAAGAGCACCACCCCCTAGAGTCGGACATGACTGGACTAAATGTCAAGGGGAACCTTTACCTTTATGATAGAAAGCCAGAATCCTTATGCATATGATACAGCTTTCTAAACCACTCTACATATTTAAAGGTGTCATTTTTAGGGTTTAAAACCTAAACCGAATTTTTGAAAAAGGCTTATTATTCCAAACAACATGAAAATACTGCATAAGCTATTTAATCAAAGCTCTTACAAAATTGCCATCATTTTACACTGCTGTGCTTTTAAAAACACGTTCTTTTCCAATCTTCACATCACTAATGCTGGTGTTTCTCCCAGGGGTAAAATTACCTTTCATCATTTGCCCAAACCAATTTATTTCATGTTTAAAAATTAGCATTCTTCATTAACTAACCTTGAAACTTTAAAAATTATACAGCAGTTAAAAGGCAAAACTACCCCAGAATGTTGTCTTATATAGTTTTTGTTGTTGTTTAGTCATTAACTCGTGTCCAACTCTTTGTGACCCCATCGACCAGAGCACGCCAGGCCCTCCTGTCTTCCACTGCCTCCCAGAGTTGGGTCAAATTCATGTTGGTAGCTTCAATGACACTGTCCAACCATCTCATCCTCTGTCGTCCCCTTCTCCTCCTGCTTTAACACTTTCACAACATCAGGGAGTCTTCTCTTCTCATGAGATGGTCAAAGTATTGGAGCCTCAGCTTCAGGATCTGTCCTTCCAGTGAAAACTCAGGGTTCATTTCCTTCAAAATGGATAGGTTTGTTCTCTTTGCAGTCCAGGGGACTCTCAAGAGACTTTTCCAGCACTACAGTTCAAAAGCATCAATTTTTCGGTGGTCAGCCTCTTTTATGGTCCAGCTCTACTTCCATACATCGCTACTGAAAAAACCATAGCTTTGACTATGCTGACCTTTGTCAGCAAGGAGATGTCTCTGCTTTTTAAGATGCTGTCTAGGTTTGTCATCGCTTTTTTCCCAATAAGCAGGCATCATAAGCTATATAAGCTTCATAAGCTTATATAGCTTATGAAGTACTAAATCCTTTTCAAGACCTCATGGTCAAGACATATTTTTCAATCATTGCTCCCTGTTTCTCTTCACAATACATACTACCTAGCTCGAATCAATGAGCTTATCATAAGTATAACTAAGCTCGCAAGTAACTCTAGGTGTTATCCTTGGAATAATTTCTGTTTTGTCTCCTAATAAAAACCAAGCTCATTCCCACTCCCAAACTAATACATGAGGTAGAACATTGCTTTCTTTCATCTTTAATATTTCTAATATTTCACAACCCAATTTACTTTGAACTGATACCATCTAGCTGACAGGATCTGGAGTCTGGAAGATCATGGAGATTAGCCACTGTTCTGTAACCACTAAGCAAATTGCTATTCCTCGGCCTTCAAATAAAATGCTTATGACAATAGTAAAGCACAACATGCCAGAGTTACAGACACTGATAAAAATAATAAGAAAGGATCACTTATCAATGCAGCCCTTATTGTTATAAAATTTCAAACAAGCAAATATTCTGTCTCATCAGTTGTGGGGAGACACATCAATGAAGCCTAGGGACTGCTAATTTTGTCAAGAATCAGTTTGCTGCAGTGTAAACACTGCATTCCTTTAAAATTGGGCAGCAGTCAAAAGAGCAGATGGTCACACACAAAGGCAAAGCAAGTGCTCCAAGCCGATGCCATCGAAGTTTGAGATGTGTTAAATTGCAGTGCAGAAACCTGCTTTCAGTCACATGACCCATCAGCCTCTGCAACTCCAGGAGAAACAAATCATTATACTCATCCCTCTTTTCAACAATTCTTTTATGTATGCACCTCATGATGGTGCTCACTATAAACACACTGCAGGAAATGACAAGATCAGTTCTTTCATATGAAGTACCCATAACTTTCTGACTTTGAAGGTTCCTGGACAGTGGCTCAGATTTTAAATAGCAAACTACTCAAATCCCTTCACCTTTTACCGGCTGCCTGCGATGCTTTTCATTATTACAAGAATGGGGGAAATCCACTATCTGTGCTCCATCCGACATTACGAAGATGCTTTTTCCCTTCCCAGTCTGAGGCACTGAAAATTAACCAAAAGAATAGATATCAGTCACACTTACCTGTTTATGAGAAGTGCAGTTTATGTAGCTATTATCCAGCCTGAAATCATCCAACACCCATTTGAAATAATCATGCATTGCTCAAGATTTCTGACAATAAAGCTTTGACAACGCTTTTATCAGAGGCTTCCCATCTCAATTAGCAATATTTTGCTGTGCTTTGTAGCTAAAAGTATGTCATAGCCAACTGCAGAGAGAGAGAGAGAACCACTGCATATACACTCCAAGGTTCTGAGCAGTTTTCATTTGTTTGCTTGCCATAGGTATTACTCATCTTAACATATGTGCATTCATGCCTGAAACAATGACAAGCCATTTGGGGCACAAGAGAAATCAGTTGCACAACTCGTCATGATTACCTTACTTTCTTAAGTGTACTGCGAAGAAGAAGAAACAAATCAATATTACATAGAATGATGGATCAAGCATGAATCAATGTGTCAAGCACGTAACCAAACAAACATGGCGGTAAACAATAAAAACAAAGGAAGAAAAGAAATAAACCACAACAGAGATTATCGCTTAACCTGTTTTGTCAGAGCTGGTATTGATGGTATTGGTAGTGATGGAAGTGAAGGTAGTCTTTGCGCTGTCCTTGGTAGTAACAGATTTCTGCTTATTTTTCATGGCTTCCAGTGCTTTGAGCTTCTTGGCATGTTTAGTGCCTTTGTAGTGGGCCGCAGCCTGGCTCTACAAAGGAGAACAAAATGAACCATGCAATCAGGCTCATTTCTAAACTGGCATTCTCTGTATTAGTACAAATACAGACCACCTTTCAATAATGGGTACCATTCGCCATACCAAGACAGTGGCTAAACTGCGGAATTCTTTGCAGAATTAAATTTGGAAACTCTGAAATGCTAAATTCTAACACTTCCAATATTATAGATATTATAGATTTTATGTCTGATTGTGTGGCTTTCTCATATAATAAAACACATCCCTTTTCATAATTTTGGCAAATAAGGTTTTTCCCCTCTGTAAAGTAAAAGGGAAGGGCACATTTTTCTTTGCAGATAGACCTCACTTAAATATAAGCTGAAATCCTATTGCTCAGGAGGCAAATTGCTGCAAATTAGAAATCCCCATAGATATTATCTGTTGCATACTGAGCCATCTGACTCTGAATGTAATAGATAATGCCTACAGAGATTCCTTAATTTACAGTAATCTGCATCTAAAAATCACAGTCTTTGTGTAGCTGCGCAATGGGATTTCAGCTATAAAATAATAAAGCTTTTAATATAAGTGCACTCATGGAAACGTTTCAAGTGCACATCAAGTAACATATGGGAAATAATTCTTATATAAGAGATTACTAGCCTTCTATCAATAGCCATATTATAGAAGCTAAAGTTATGGACATTGTCCTGAACAATGCAATGCCAAAATCTGGACCAATTTTGGACTTTTAGTGGAGTTAAAACTCTTACACATGTGAAGGCCTATCTGCATGTCAGCACTAGAGCAAATGGAAACATATGGCCAGTTCGTATGGTGATTGTCAGGGAAGAAATTTATTGCATGCAACCATTCTTTCCTTCTTCAGATGTTATTGTTTTCAAGTAGGAAAGGGAAAGGAGAAACTATTCACGAGAACAAACACAAGAAATTAACTGCATAAAATTCATCATAAGAAACAGCCATGTTTTATCCACCTCATTTCCCTACTGACATGCAAGCAGTCCTTCTATAGAGGCTATTGAAAGCAGTCTGGGCATACAAATTAGTCATGTTCTCTGTCCCACTTTGACAATCCTCCAGATAACTTTCTGGAGAGTGCAAGAGTGGGTAGGAAGGAAGGAACAGGCAAGCAAAGCTCATCTGCCTCCAATGTATCAAGTGCTTTCTATGGATAAAATTGTACATAGCCTTCAGCTATGGACCATGAACACTGGATGGAGCTCCCCTGATGTAACTCTGACCTAAAAGTCTGTTTTGTTCAACCAATGCAAACTACATTCTTTCAAAAATTATTTGTGGAACATGAACCTGTTCAATGTTTTTTCATATATGTGATCTCCATATATATGTTGTCTAGTGCTTTGTTGCCTTAAAAGCAGAATGGAAGGGAAATTCCATAAACTCCTCTTCTTCAGTCCTGCTGTTCTGGCAGGCTCCCCATTCCACAACGGGCTGAGTGGCTGACCCTGCAACCAATGTGAGAATAGGCATGTGATGGGGAACGTACCAGAACAGAAGAGGGGGAACACAGATGAATTCCCTTGTACTCTTTATTTAGGCAATAGGATACTGGGCACTGGGTTGGTTGGGTTTGTTAACAGCCCTTGACATCCTGTCATGTTCTAGAAACAAAATCAGAAATTAGGATAGGGCTGTGCAGACAGGAACTGCCAGAGTGCAATCCCATCTGTGCAATATGGCTTAGGACTGGTTCAGCTGACACTAGGCCAGCTGAAGCTGTACTGAATCTAATGTTTTCTCAAGTTACAGATGCAGGAAAATACTTAGGACTCCCCTTACCCCAGACTAATTTATTGGCCGTGTCTCTGCATTAGAAGAGGCTAGGATCTGACATAATGTGGCCTCTCCCTTGCTCCACCCTTTCTGAGCCAAATATTTTTGCTCTCCTGCTGGTAATTCTTAGCTAGTAGGATGATTCTGCCAACAGATCTGTCTATCAGCAGATATCTGAGATTAAAAAGTGCAGAAGAAGGGGGTGTGCCAGAACAAGATTTTCTGTAGGCAAAAAATTGGTTTATGCACTTTCCCAGACCCATACAGAAAGGATATCTTTGAATCAGGTCCACACCATCAGTTTTCCATGGTTGTAGTAACTGGTTTAAATGTTTACTCTCTCATTGCAATGATGACCCTGAATATATCTATTCACTTTCTCTATTCACTCTGTGACCAGTTGCACAGAGTGCTACTCCTGTCCTCTGAAGATGCTGGCCACTGAGACTGGCAAAACATTAGGAAGAACAACCTTCAGAACATGGCCAAAGAGCCCGAAAAACCCACAACAACCACAAGAAATGTTCTTTCTTACTATGTATCTCCGTGGGACTACAATGTTTCATTCAGATGCACATATGTGAAAAACAATGTGGTGCAGATCACAGGTTCATTTTCCAGATTTTGACCAGAATCCTATGGGTGTTCACCTGAGATATGCATAACTTGCTGTGACTAATTGCAGGAAATTGACAAAGTGCCAGGGTGCATCTTGGCCACATGCCTGGTCACATACCTGACTGTGCAATTAATATGTGCCCCAGAACCTGGTCAGTTAGCTGTGATTAGCTGCAAGTTATGCAAACATTACAGAGACTCCAGCAGGATTCTGGCCTCCTGGGATATTAACTGTGTAGCTTAAACTAACACATACTGGTCTGGGAAGATTCTCTCAGCACGGTGGCCTTGAAAGTAGAAGGAACGTAAAGTCTTCCAAGCCACCATACATCAGGAAGTTTTTTTTAATGACAATCTAAAACTTATAGTGGAAATGATATGCTCCACAATTGCATGACCTATAAACAGTGTTGTGGTTAATAATAAACAGTGCTCATATATATGCAGAAGAATCCTTAGGTTAAAGATAATAAACCAGCCCTATTGTTGGAGAACTATTTGTTAGGATTCACATGGAACTGAATCTCATTGGTGTCTGTGTAATGTTTCCATGTTGTAATCTTTGACTCTTTTCCTACTACACAGCGTATTTGTTTCTTTGTTTCATTTACTAATGGCTAGGATACAAACTGCTGTACAAAAATGAAACTACGTGTTTTATACTGAAAAGTCTCTTGCTGGTTTTTAGATAGAAAGCCAGACCTTTGACATAGTCACTAACTTGGCTAAAGAGAGAGAAAAAGGTCAACTATCTCTTTTAAAATTTGTCTAGGCCGTGTGTTCTTTGACAGCAAGAAACTATTTAGCTGTGTCCATAGATTCCCCTTCTCTGAAGCTATGTAGCTATTGTGGTAGGTACCCTTATTGAAAGAACACTGGACAGTGAAGATAGTAATTAGAAACAACTTTAACAGAAATAGCACAATCATGCATCTTTACAACTTTCAAACAACACATAACATTAACAGACATATCATAAGCCAAATGTGAACAGGTAAGTGGTGTTAATTACTATTACACTGAAAGTCCAATGTTAGGTTAGGATGGCATAAATAAATGGCAGACTATCATACAGATTTATGTATCATAGCCAGATGCTGGTTTCTGTGATCCAAATACATTTTATAATGTTCTTTAATTGGAAAAAGGTTTTGGTATTTTTAATTGCCTCAGAACCTTAGTTCATTGAAATGTCACAGTTCTCTTGCCCACATTAATCCCAGTGTTATTTGGTTACTGCACATTCTTCACAGATGCCATCTTGCAAATCCATTACAGAATTCTCTTTGGTAGAATGATAAGCCCTCTTTTCATCCAGAGGGAAACATAAATAAAGACGTGTAGAGACTAAATTGTAATACCCTACATTAGAATGTACAATCTGCCAGTTTTCTGAAATATATAATGACACTACCTCCTGTGTCTAGATAAAATTGTGTTTTTCCACACTTCCTACAAAGTAGTAGTTCTTTCCATAATCTCCACTCACAGAGGTATTTAAATGTTTTCTGTTAAAATCTCAGGATGTAAAATTTCACTTTCCATAAAGACACACAGGTGTCTCAAGATAACTAGCACTGGCTGTTGAATGGTTTTTCTATGTGGGAAAGAGAGATTGCTTGCCAAGCATTTAACTAGTTCTCAATTAGACTACAATCGTCATTTATTCCTGGACCTTTAGGACTGATGTGGGAAGCTCCAAAAATTTATCATTATCTGTTCCTGCAATATAAATTTATCAAATGGAAGAAGGAGGCAAAAACATTCCCAAAAGTTTTTGCTTTTGCTGCTGCTGCAGGATTTCAGTACAGAATATCAAAACCTCAGTGAATTATAATCTTTTTACACTTTAAAAAAAGTTCCACCATATAATATTCTCAAAGTAAAGGTGCTAAAATTAGACAAGTTGAAAAATGTAAGTAACTTTGCAGAGTTTCTACAGAAAATGGAGAACAGAGTCACAGCCTCAACCCAGTCAAAACCATGTTTTAGAACTGTGAAAAGTGGTTGGATGATTGAGTGCACCATTTTAGCCAGAATTGACCTTTACAGCACATGATTATTATTATTAGGATGAAAACACAGAGGCTCGCAGGGTTCTTAAGACCACAGCAGAAAATGCAGAGTACATCAGAAAATGGAGTTCAACATTCTTTAGTTAATAATCTTCTAAAAAGACCTGCTCTGTCTAAAAAAAGCTCAATATACTTTAAGGGACTGTTTTGCTACAGTATGTCTACAAAATATTGGTTTTACCCCTTTAAAAAAAAAAATCAAATAAACAGCATCTGCATCTTTTTGAAAATTAGAAGATTTGATGGCTGCTGGGCTCCAGACATTAGATGGTCTGTCTCCAACAACTAGCAAAACATAACAACAAAGCTCTTTGCTTAAAGACTATAAACAATCTTCCTTCTATTCTTAAAATTTCAAAAAATCATTAGTAGCTATGCCAGTTTAAAGCAGAGGTACTTAATTTGTTGAAAGCAACAAAACCTAGGATGTCTTGTAGTTATCGTATCACCCCAGGAATAGATTTCCAATCCTGTCAAAGTAAAATGACATGATATAAATACAGTATGCTATGTTTCCTT